ATTGTTGGTTGTCTAGCGTAAATATTTTTTAAATTTCGAAAAAAGTTGCATCTGGTCAATAATGCAGTTGGACACGATGAAAAAGGCAAAGATCCAACTCGAAGACGAAGAAGCGACTTAACGGTACTCGGAAGATGTTGCTGTGTGTGTGTGTGTACGCGTTGGTGAAATGGCGCAATACGCAAGAGTCCACGACGCGAAGAAAACTCGAAAGAAGGAGCAAAGCAAACACACGCAAACGGAATATAGTTATGAAGTTGAAGCAGAAGGAGACGAAGACGCACGGCACATAACGGATCCTTTCTTCGGTCTTCGGTACTTACATAGCGGTACCGCGCGTCCGCGAGCCGGTAACCTAGTGCCGAGCGCGCGCACACCTAGCGGGACTCCTTCGGAGAGGCCGTTCCGCCATCCAGACATCAACACACGACTATATGCATCGCCATCACGTGTGTGTGAGCGTGCATAACTAAACAATAATATGGTAACCGAGGCTTAAAAAAATGTAAGATTCTCAGGGATTTTTTCGAAATCTTAAACTTTTTTTCGCATCTTGATAAATGTTATCTAATGAAAAATGATTTTGTGCCAGACCAACCTTTACCTGTCATGACGGTGTGGGAGGGCGAGGGCGGTGGCGGCGGTGCCGTGGTGGTCGGCGTTGTAGCCTCTACGCGCGACGAGGCGGCATCGGAGGCGGCCGACACCGCCGATGCGACCGACGCCACCGAGCACGCATCCTCCACCTCCACCTGCAGCTCGGCGACGACGACGCCGCTTTCTCCCTGGTCGGCCAGTTTTAATCCGTTTGTTTCCGGCTCACAATGAAGTTTATTACAACCACTCACTAACTCCGTACGTTAAATTTGTGCATTAAGGGACGACTTCTCTTTGCTTTTCAGACTTTTGCTTTTATTCCAAACTTGGTTGACGACACTTATCAGTCTTACGATTGCAACTTTTACAAATTCATACAAAACTTTTCACATTCGTTTAATATTTCTTATTTTTGATGACAGTTATTGACAGATTATGTTGTTTTACGTTATGTTTAGTTATTACTTGTGTTAATGGTTTGAATTTTACGATATTTTAGAAAATTTAGTTGTACAAACGACGTGTAAATAGAAAAAAGGACGCTTATACAAAAACGACTCAATCAACATCAACGTTTTATTTTTTGGAATATCGAATTGGTGTTGGTGTTGAAACAATGATTTTATTACAAATCAGTCGCAGAATTTTGCTCTTCGAACGAATGTTTGAACTTTGTTTTTGTTTTCTTTTGGTTGTCAGTCGATTTCAGTCTAGTACAGTCTTCAAAGTTTAAAAAGATGTCTTTGATAGCGACGCGCTTGATGCTTCAAATGTATTGCTTTCGAAATGCTTTTGTTCATAATCATTAAAGTGTGTGGTGTGTGGATTGTTTTACGTTCGGAGAAGTGAATACATACGTGAAAAATACGTTTAAAGGCCTCTATGACTATGTTACATTTGGTAGTTTTTATTTATTATTTTTATTATGCAAAACTCGGCGGATAAATTATGTTTTTGTGGAAATTTAGCGGAATCAACCCTTAACCCTTCACGAACACAGTAACGGTATCCTCTTGATGTCAAAGTGTTGTTTTGAAATGCAAAAGGCGACGTCTACACCAAAATCGTCCTGACTTAAATCAATCCACTGCATTTTTACAAAGATAATTATTTTTTAATATTACTGATAGTATATTAACGTCTCACTCTATGTGAATGTGTGTTTGTGGATGTGTGTATGTTGTGTGCACGGCTAGTCGGTGTGAGGGAATCAATATTTTTAAAATCGATCCTCGAATGCAGGTTAGAGGAGCAGGACTGCGGCGCCCGAGCACGCTCGTCCTTTCGACAACCCGGATGCGACTACACCACCCACACAAATCGCAATTTCACACGCAACTTCAAACAATACATTTTTACATTCGTTACGATTCATCAACTCAAAAAGAAAAAACGAAATTTAACTGAAACAAGCGGTGTAATATTTTAAATTATTATGTTTCTGTTCACTTTTGCTTTTTATTTGAAGTTTAAACACTTTTTAATGTTTGGGGTTGTTTTTTCTTGTTTTGAGGGATGTTTGTGATAATTTAATTTCCATGTATCGATCCACCAAGTGCAAAACACTTCCGGGATGCACAGCTCGCGGTCTATTCACGCACAGAATGCAGTTTTTTGTCACGGTGGAAAAATTGCCACTAGCCGGGGGGCGGCGCGGGTCCGCGGTCACGGTTCCGATTTGGAGGAATCGCGAACGCGCGAGAATGCGTTCAGTGTCCAATTGTCGAAAAGCGGTTGCGTATATGATGTTGGTGGATGCGATACTACGCCGCCGACACACGCGCCGCCAGCGCTGCGGTAGCCGCCGCGGCCGGTGGCGGCAACATGATCTGCTAAATCCCATTACACACAACACAAAACCACAAAACTCAAAATTTTACGTTTAAATACCGTTAAAATTACATAAATAAATCATATTTATGTTATAACTTTCTTATTTCACATAAATTTGCAATAATTTATTGTTTTTCTTTAATTATAAACAATTTAAAAACAATATTTGGATGAAATTTGTGTTGTGTGAGATAGACTTTAGTAACGCGCATGCGCAGTTGCAACGCAGCAGGACTCCTGCATTTCGATCCGAGGCTCTTCGCACACTTCCCCTTTTACCTGCCGCCTCCCTCCCGCCAGCGGCAAACAACTTTCACCCCAATGTGCATGCTTCCTAAGAATGCATTTGGCAACCTAGTGACATGGTTTCTGTTCCTTACTTCCTGTTCCTTACTTTCGTACGTTTGTTTATGTGTGTTGGGGGTGCTGTTAGGGGTGTGCGTGTCCTCGTGCACTACATCGCCGCCCTCAGCATACTACTTCCCTAGATATCCACATAGCTACACACTGACACATACAAATCTAACATTTTCCCGCATCGGACACGCACGCTCACCATGGTGTGCACATTCTGGGGTAGTGAGGGCAGAAGGGTAGTAAGGGACTCTCGCTGCGATGGGAAAGTAGGAAAATCCCATACAGCGGGGCGAAAATCGAAAGTGAAACCCCGTTCTCGCGTGCGCATTGATTTTCCCTGTTTTCACCCGCTGGATGTTTGGAGTTCCACGCAGGGGGCCTGCAGGATTGGCAAATCGGCATCCCTTCATTAATTGAAATTTGTTTCATTAGGCAAACAAGTGATTCATAACAATACGCGGCGTAATGCAACATGGCGTGCATGATACACAACACAAAAGGACTCTCAAAGGATGAGAGGGTTTTTAATTAAAAAGGACGAATTACATCCTCTCTAATAAAATTTGTGTATCTATAAATTTTAGCTTAATGAAATATTTACGCGGAAAAATTAAATCTAAGGATGTGATGGAATTTGATGGCTGGATATTTATTAGGATGACAACAATTGGCTACAAGTGGAGGTTGTAAATCCGTCGTCACGTGCTCGTAAACAGCCGAAAACACTCTCTCGTCCTTTTTGTTATTTTCTTTATGTTTGTGTTTCATTTGGGTCTTTGTACAAATAATAAACCTACATGGCGACCAAAACAAAGGAAAAACAAAATGGCCGACGACAATGTTTTGAATGTTGTGTTTTTTTTTCTGCTGTATTTGTGTGTGACGATAAAAATGAGTTGTTTTTCTCCGCTAACAAAGCATACCACGCAAATATGGTAATAGAAAAATGTCGGAAGGCTCTAACAAAGGACGAAACAAAGACTTGGGTATATCATGCGCGCGCGGAAAATGCGAAAGCGGAAAAGTCGCGCGAACGCCATAAACATTTTATGTACATTTATATCATTAATGTCGTAACTTTTACAGCAAAAATTTTAAACGGAATATTTTAGGTTAGGGTATCAAATCGAAATTCTTACCTCAGCAAAATTTTTCTATTTTAGTATTGCAGATATTGCCGAATTTATATTTTGCAGATTCTCACTTACCTAAAACAAAGAATAATTCAAAATTAATGCTAATATTTATTTAATGAAATATTTTAATAATTAACGCGTTTTATTTTTAATTAACACTGCCGGATTAATAATTAAATGCATGATATATTATTTATTTTCTAGCGTCAACATAACTCGTGTTTATAATTAAATTTTAATTAAAACTTGATCCAATTTGCGTCGTTTTCAAAAACGGTGACGACATTGATGATATAAGCGTGCGATGTTTTATAACGGAAGTGCTATACGAGTATGTTTTATGACAAATTCACTACCATGTGAATAAATATATTTTGGTGTTTTTTTTCGTGTGTTTTTCTTGTTTGTTAGCAAAAAGACACCGAAGAAACGGTAAACGACACACAGTTTGTGTCACCGGCGAATTCAGTCAGTGCGTCAGTAGGTTTCCGAGCTTCGAATTTCCGCTATTCGCCGCCAATTATATTCCAGCCGCGTGCCAGCGTCAAAGTATTTGCATTTCCATTTATATTCAATTGTTACGCTTCGTTTCGCGAATGCAAGTGGACGAAACAAAACACAACAAACATAAATATCAGATATTCGTACATGCTGCATAAACAATCCACCGTTATTTTATTTTTAACGGATGTTAATCGTATTTTCCGCAGTATTATATTTTCTGTCAATTTTTGGAATTAATTTTGGCAATGATGGAATATCCGATTACTTCGTTAAAGAAAAAATCTTTGAATCTTTGCTAAAATTACAGATCATGTTACGTGGGATGCGATCGATTGAATAATAAATTCATCCGCGCGTCGTGAAAATATTATATCTCTAGATTTATTCATGTATTGCGAGTGTGTACCTGCAGGCAACGTGCGGCAATGCGCTTGATGTTGGCGGGTCATGACCTAACTGTAAATAATGACACATGATCTTCATGCACGAGCTCCGTACGAACCACTCTTCTACCTAATAAAACACCAGCACACATTTACGAACATCTGTTTCAACTGTGTTTTGCAGCCCTTTCAGGCATTCAGTCCGCTGCGGGTATTGTTGCGTTGGGAGTTGGGAAGAATGAACGATGAAGACACCTTGCGCATTGCGGAAAAGGTGTTTGAAGGACTTGAGACTACTACAACTACCTGAAACACATTCATCATGTGAGCGCGACCGTGCGAAGCTTTGATGCGAGGCATGTGTGTGGAGAATATTGCGTGGGAGACAATTTACTCTTCGATTGGGATGTGGGAAAAAGGATTGCAGCGGAATGAAATGACAAATTGGTTACCGATTGATTGACAGCTAGCCGTTAAAGCTGATTTCACGTACAACCGCCCGTGACTGTGGCAAATTAACAAGTATATTATGCAGTTGTGTTTTAGAATTAAATGATCAGACATGACAGAAAATTTTCATTTGGGAAAACGTCAATCAAAATCATCAGTGAAATTTAAACTCTTGAAATTTTCACAGAATAGAGTTGTGCGTTTGCGTACAGATGCAAATCGTAGGCGTAATATTATCAAGTGTTGGAGTCATTTGTCGTCGGCGATAACGGACGTCCAAAAACACGATCCATGCAACGATGTGCAGAGGGAGTGGTCCCCAGATAAGAAAGATGTGCTACCCAAACGAAACGTAGTGAACTATCTTAAATCGGTGAGTAAATTGATTCGACACCTTATCGAAATCGAAATTTCATGTAAATTCTTTATTTAAATTTGCATTCAACTGCATCTTCCTACATCTTGTTTAATATAATCAGGTAACGGTAGTGCTACCATTGAAAAGCAAGTTAAAAACTTTGCATTTGCATAAATGTTTAAATTATCCGCTCAAAACTGTCGCAGTGCGAAGCGAAAAACAATTATGATGTGATTGATGAAGAGTGCGCGTTAAAGATGAGAGTATAAAGTAATGTAGTTTTATAATTTGATAAAAACTGTGAAAACTGTTACTTCACACATAGGTTATGCGCGTTTTTACTTCTGTGTACACTTGGTTGCGTGTTGCGCGCACGACGCAAGATACGAAAGTAACGGAATGCGAATCGAACGCGCGGTGATAGTTAATGCTTAATGTGTAATGTTCAATGGGGTAATGCATAATGTCGTGCGCGTCTTATCGCGATGGTAATTAATTATTCGGCCACAGGTAAAAAGTGGTTTTAATTAATTCGCACCCGAGCTTTGCATGCCAAGCCCACATAAACTTTACACCTCGATGTGAAAATATTCTACAATTGCTGAAGAACATTTATAGTGTTGTTATGCCTGCCATCTATGGGCAAGAAGGCAAACTACTTCAAAACTACTAAAATGGCGTTATGACTAGCTTTTATATTACTGAATAATTGTCATAAACTTTCATTAGTTATAATGCCGTGTCGCATTCAGATGATGGCATGTTTTCCTACCCTCTCTGGGGAAGTGGTGTGCGTGGACAAGTTCGTTTTGTCGCGCTGGCAGGCGACGTAAAATCGATAGAAGTTTCGCCGGTCGTTTGCCCCTGGCTCCCTGACCTTTCCCTTTCCGCGGCGTGCCAGCTAACACACTGACACATACAATCAATCTAACCACCACGGGCACACGGACAAAGTGACGTGTAATTGAGGATTTTAATGAATGTCTAGCGTGTAGAATCAGGACAGTTTTAGGTTACAGGTTAACCAAATAACCGGCGGAGTTGCTGAAAGTGCCGAATGCATTTAGAGCAGAGTGCTGAAAGTAAAAGTTTGTTCCAGGCAATGTTTTCATCAAGTAATTTTAGGTCGCAAAGTTTGAAAGTGTATTGTAGTCACATTTTCACTAAAATTTTACTTCTAAGTCATGAAAAGCCCGTTATTATGTTTTTACAAAGCAAAATATTTATTTTTATTGTTTGTGAAGTCTTTTTCGTAGTTTGTTTCTAGTGTAATTAATGATGGGTAGCTTTTGAGAGCTATTCAATAGAAGCAAAATTGGTTTTGACATTGGTGGCGCCACCTTTGGCTGAAAACTTCAACTACAACTCGGAACAAATACTTTTTTGTTATCGTAGTTCACAACAGATTGAATAATGTCTGAAAACAGTACATTTTGAAACAAAACATACGTTTCTGTTGTGATTTGTAGTTTATTCGTGATTGTCGGAAACGGATGGAATGCATGCATATGTTATTTCGGCAATGCGGTGGTTTGGCCGGTCGGTGACCCGCGCCGTCGATTTTTGGACATTGCGCGCCGCAAGCGCCTACACGCACATACAACTCACGTACGCACACATGTGTACGCACCTCGCGCCCATCCGAAGAAGAAAAATGACCTATGCGTACGTTTGGCATGCCAACGTCCATCGACTTCTTTCTGTTTCAATCTTTCGGTTCAAATTGACTTAATGAATCATTTTTGGAGTCAATATTTTGTCATATTGTGAAATTTTCAGCGCGCGTTTTTTTCTTCTCTTTTCTGAGTGAAGTTCAAAAACTCGCTTCTTACGCAATGCGCATCGATGACTAAATTTGGTAGGCCAAGAACCGATCAGCAATCCGCTGGAGATTTATTTGGTATTGCATGATGCGCGCGATAAGTCATGCGCGTACGCATCAAACAAGCCGCGAGGAGAAAATGAGATAAAATAACTGAGAGCATGCGGTGTAATTGGCCTTCGATTGCGTTTAAATTTAAGACTGCTTATAGCGACTTAATCGACGCGAACGTCTTTAAGCAAACTTTAAGGCAACGCAAGCTGCTTAAGCGAGTTGATTGAAGGTGTACCACTATCTCAATATCAACTCTTTTTGTAATTATGATTAAATTGTTTAATTAAAGGAAAATTTTCCTTAAATATTACCCTTTAACCACTTTGATTTATTTTTTGCTTGTCTGCGTGTACTTAATTTTCAAAGCAGCGGTTTTATTTTTATGTCTTGGAAGTTCAAAGACTTTGCAGCTTTTTTGCTCTAATTGAACCTCTTCGCAGCGTTGTGAAGATGGAACACAAAATGAAACCGAAACTGAAACGCAAAAACACCGCGCAAAACACCGAAAACGTTCGGAACAAAGCGTATGCTCGAAATAAACGCCGGAGCGGAAAATGCGAACGAACCGGAATGGTAAAAGTCTTCCGGTGATAAGCCGAACGCGGGTTCACGGACCACACCGCCCCGAAGGGGTCAATAGACTGCCAAAAATTTTAATTTTTTTACCCGAAGATACAAACAAACAAAAATGACAAAATATTATTTAAATAAATATTCTTACCTCTTATAGTGCTGGGCATCGCAGGAAATATCCAACCAAGAATTAAAATTTCTTCTTTCTTCAAACTTTCAAGTATTTTCCCGCACAAAATTTAAAATTTCTTTATTTAAGTATTTAGCGTCCGAAATAAATTAATTAAAATTTTAGATAGAGAATTATTTGAAGCACTAAATTTTTTTATCGCACTAAAGAACACTAGAAAGCTTTAGATATGTTTTAAAATTTTGCTTTTGATTAAAAGATTAAATATTTATTGCGTTGTTTCGTGTCGTTTATGTGAATATCAGTAAAGTTTTTGCGCTATCATCGGCACGATACGGGCGCACAGCAGCAGGCGGGCGAGTCCTTTCTTCTTCTTGAAGTTGCCGAACTTGACGCGATACATTTTGCCGCTGCTGCTCTCCTGCTGGGGCACACCGGACCGGGGGACGATTTAGGACATTAAAATCCTAAATTTACCTACAACAATTAACGATTAAATTTTTTGCACATAAATATAAACTAGCGGAATATTAAATTTCATAAAGTTAATCGATTGTTGTGTTGTGTTTTTTTTTTGCTGTCGATTAATTAATTTCCTTGTCGCGCTTCGATCGCAATAAAAATGTCAAGTGCATTGACACCTGAGCGCGCATGTTCTCGGCGAGTTCGCGCAATATGTGACATCTGCAATTACCGCACTTGCGCATGTAATACATACATAGTCAGGGCGCACTTAGGTGGCATAATCGTTTTTGTAATTAAATTAATTAAAGATTACTTTAAAATTCTTAGAAAAATTACTTTAAAAAAATTTTATTCTTCAGATTATTACACAAAAAGTTAAATTATTCTTTTAATGAGTAAGATATTTTTGTGCCAAGTAACGGCGTAGTGACTATAATTTTAAAATGCAATGATGCAGACAAGTTCATTGAGAATTGTTGCAATTCTCACAAGTTACAACGATAATAATCGATTGTGTTGCGAATTAATTCACATTCTTTGGTGTAAATTCATAATTCACGGTGAGATATTATGATGAGTTTTTGTAATAATTTAATTTGAAAAAATTAAAGTTTATAGAGTAGTTTTTGCAATCAGTGCATTTTTATGCGTTTTATGCGAATAGTGCAAAATGATCATAAATCGTTTAATAATTGATTATATAAAGTAATAAAACGGTAAAGTATCGGTTTTCAACTACTTGATATCAAATTTCGTTTTATTAAATACTAAAATGTTACTTTATAGTCGCGGCGAATAATTTGTGCAATAATCTGATCAGCAAAATAGTTAAATAGTTATAAGTTATGATTTATTATTTAATATTATAATGGCACCTTGACTATATAACGTATTATCAATATTTGAATACTTATATAATGCGATTTATGCAATTTTCATTAAACTTGTTGTGGTTGATAAAACGGAATAATTGTATGTATATTGTAGTGGGGGCGGAAAAGCGGAAAAACTCGCGTCTTTGCGTGGAAAACCGGTCGGTTAGTAGCGTGGCGCTTTTTCTCGCACGTCATTTCCATACTCAATATCAATCGACGGCAATAGGTCAGTGAACTTTACACCTAACGTTGTTATTTATTGCTTTTAAGTAAAACTAATATCAGTAATGTGTATCGATAAATTTCATTCATTATATTTTTATCGTTTTATTATTTTTTCAAAAATCTAATAAATGTTTTTAAATTTAAAAAAAACATAAACAGAATTTCATTGAAATTGATATGATACTCAGCAAATTTCAGTTTACAGCTGACAGGATGAAAAAGGTCATTGTACTGTTAATAAGTTAATATGAACTTGACTTTTTGCACAATATAGAATTATTATTTTTTCAATTTAATGAATTTATTGCGATATTTTTGGGTTGTTTATACTTGCTACATTTGTAATCCTGTAATATCCTTTATAAATTATCTCCGGTTGGTCACATCCTTAAAACCACAAAATAATTAGTTATAAATGAAAACAAAACAAATTAATTTTTTAAATTAAACTAATTAATTATGTAATTTGAAAACTTCCAAAGTGAAGCAGTAAATTTGAACCATGCGTAAACTTTTCGCAACTTTTTTTGAAGATTTGCACGCACGTGGTCGGAATTTAAGGCCTGTGCTATTCGGATGAGTAACGTCGCGACACTGAAAAGCGCGACTTTCCGCAATGGAAAAACTCTCGCGCCGCCAACGGTTAACCTGCGTATGCTGCCGTGAGTCGCGCGTCGACCGCGGGTCAGGTTCAAGCAACTCAAAAACCACCCGCGCCACCCTCGCTTTCTCCGCCCCCGAAAACGCGCGCGATCTCTAACGGTCGTTTGTCTTTGGCAATTGGGTAAATTTTCCAGCTTACGAATTTCCCGCTTTGCGCGCAACACGAAACACAGTACACTAACCTTAAGGGTCACGCACCACCACACACACTGACTCACACATAGCACTCTCACTGGCGCACATCCACACGAATACTTTGCGTAAGGGTGTTGATTGTATTGTACCGCAAACCCACACCCCAAAGGGTGGGTAGGTGGGTGGTGTTTGAAAGGTAGAAAAAAAAAGCGCGCGCGCGCACACGTTGGACGCACGGACGCACCTGTTGTTGCGCGGTGCGCGTCGCCGACGACTGGCCGTGTGGCATGCGTGCGTTTGCCGGGGCCGGGCCTCCCCAGGTGAGGAGGTGAGACCTGGCGGCGAAGACGCGCGAGAAGAAGAGGTCACTGACACGCGCCGCACGCGGAACGGTGACGTCGCGCTAGCCGCTGCGCCGATGGCCTAACGGACCCAACGGTACACCGCCGAAGCGCAGTTAGCTCGCGCCCAACAGGATCGTGCGTACGGACACCACATCGCCATCATATGGTTACACACACATGGAAGACCTACCTAGAGTAGGTCTACTACCATCTCCACCACCAGTTTTAACTTATTCACTCGGTTGCATCATCTGCACCATGACCACAATGAGTAAGAAGATACCTCTTGTTAATATTCTTAACCCTGACTAGGTCAATTCACATTCTACGCCGGGGTTAACAGTGGTACCTTGTGGTACCACATGGTAACACAGGTGGTAACCGGAGCTGAACTCTCAATATTGTCTCTTTTTCCGAGTTTAACCTTTTGAACTTATTTGTGCGCTTAATTTTACCGCCGATTGTATCGATGCGCATTCTCTGCAAGTCCTTTGTGAGCCGCGGTTCCTTTTGTGCGAGCGCACACAGGTGATGCGGTCGCAGGTTGTCCGACTTTGCAACTCTGCAGCGCTGATTAAGAAAGACAAAGAAGTGCAAAGTGCAACTCGCTGAGCCCAAAGCGAAGACGCAATTTACAGCTTACACCGAATCTGCTTCTGCATCTTCCAATCTGCTTCTTTGCCTCTTCTTTGCCTTGTCTTTATTTTATCGGCTTATTACATCATTGGATGAGTATTTAACGTGACCTCTAATGTCTTTTCTTCGTCATCTGCGTTCGCACCTCCAGGACAACTTGATGCAACTGCAGTCTGTTTAATGCGTAATGTGTAATGTTACTTTGATGACAACAATTGTACCGTTTCACGATCCATCATCACTATATTTCTATTTATATTGATATTGATGGCTTAAGCTCACTAATAACTTAATATTTTACTTTAATGTCTTTCTTTTTGTTTGTTGTAGATTTTTAAGTTAAACAAAAGACATTATTATACCCAATCATCATGGTACTACATTTTCCAATTTGCTTCGGAAAGTAAGTTTTTTTATTATTTTTATTATTCAGTAGCTTAACTAATTAGTTTTTTTTTTGTTTTTGAATACTAATAATGCACTTTGGCGCAATCTACGTGTGAATTATATAGCTATAACTATGATTAAATTTCCACACAAACTTTCACCCCCAATTTTACCCCCTTTAAATTTTATTTTTGCAACAAAAAGTTGTCTATCTCCTACTTTAAAGAATAAACTATAAAATTGTAAAGTTTTATCAAAATTGGTTCAGTAATTTGTGCGTGAAAGAGTAACAAACATACTCACATTTCATAGTTTTCTTCTTCATGATAACAATCGATGCATAAACGGTAAATTATGTTCTACATTTTATAAAAACACTTTATCCTCTCGTATTATCGTAATAATGGTATAATGCATACGCTGTTATTATAAATATGCAAATTTAATTGAAACTCTGCCACGAATACGCATTATTGTAATTGCGCATTATATAGCTACTCCGAATCTGCTCATCTTTTCATTCCTTGCAGATCAAAAGATATCGAGTGCTTAGTTTGTTGCAAGTTTGTGAGTTGTGGCGTTGAGATTTTCATTCATTATTCAAACAATTCTCAATTTCAGTTTACTCATGCTTGATTATTGTGCGCGTGAAAATTTTGCAGTCAGTGGGAAATATCTACAAGTAATTGAGAAAAATTAGTACAGAGTACGGTACATGTTAAATAATTACTGCTTGTAACAACTAATCACTAATTTAATCACTAATTTTGCGTTTTTTGAAATTATTTTGTTATTAATTGCAGAGCTTTGCAAATAATAATGTGATTAGTTATATTTTAGAATTCGTACGGGATGCCAGCATAAAACACGTTAAGATTATATAGCTTATACCGCATAATGAAACTTCTTCATTCAAATGTCATACGTAATATGATTGATAACCTTTTAATTGCTTCATAGCTTTAAAGATTTTTGCGTTTTTAACTTTGAAGTTTTTTACTTTGAACATTTTCATGTTCAAATGCATGAATGTTTCAGATTACAAATATATTTCATTTATCAGATTTATAAATGCAAATCGCAATGCAAAAAAATTTGCATTTCAAATACCTACATAATATTTTTAGCTGTCGTATTAAATTTATCATTTAACTTGATTTAATTCATGAGCAATTAAATGCAACATTTATGGTAATCTAAATCACCAAAATTACCACAATATTCTTTTCATTGTAAATTTTATCTGCTCATATTATTATTATCCGCCCCTTGAAATTTGTCTTCATATGTTTGCTTAAGTATCGTTGTTGCTGGTGTTGGCGTCAAAGGTGAACGCCCTACATTCCCCCTGGGGCCCTGTAGGGTAGGAAATCAAATCGTAGAAAGCGAAAGTTCACCCACCTTGTGAACACACACGGGGTTACAAACTTACGGGGCTACAGGCCATTACGAATGTTGTTTGATGGTTCGGTTACCTCACCCTTAATGACGTTGACATAGGTATTGGTGTGAGATCGTTAACGGCGTGAGGAGTACGAACGGAAAGGTGTCAATAAACTCACCCCCGAGCCTTAATAAAAATACTTGTGCTTGTGTTTTTAATTAAAACATAACCTAACCTGCGACGTGTTGGTTTAATATATTTTTCGTTCGATATATCGAATATTGTTGGGGTGCTCGGGGGTCGTTTACTAATACTACCCACTTTTATGCATGCCATTGTTGCCGTGCACGCACAATCTACCAATATGGGGTTATCTACATTTACATCGCGACAAGGGTGCGTTGACTTTTCTGCTTTCGCTGTTTCCACCTGTTATATGAGTACTATAGTTGAACAATATTCGGTAAATAAATAACAGAAATAAATTTTAATGTTTACCACTTGTTAAAGGTAATTATCAAAGTAAATTTACGCGTTTTTCGTGTTAATTTTAATTGATCTTAAATAATTACACCGGTTTATTCTGTTTCTCACACGAAAATATGTCGTCCGACACTTCCGGCCGTGAAATTCAATTGGTGCGAGAAATTTATTTACACAAATGATTTGTGTCTTTATGTCTTGCTCACAAATAAAAAGCGCGCGTGGAAACCGATTCGTTGCGTTGATCTGCCGATGGGCTTTAAATTGGTGAAGCGTCCGCATGTGAGAAGATGAAAAAAATGTGCACAAAGTGAGTAGCGCTTCGCATTGGGATGCCCACCAATATGCCCACCATGCCCGCCATGTAGCGGTAATCGAATGGCCCCGAAATTTACAGTTAAAAACTCGTAACCCATCGCGAAGAGCGTCGCCGTCGCATGAGTCGCGGCGTAACCCATTGATCGGTCGCACATACACCTCACCTCGTCTACCTGCGCGACCCACGAGAAAGAAACGAAGAGTTAACTACCAATCGGATGATAAACAGATTCTTCATCTGCAACATCAACTTAACCTCTGCGAGAGAGACGCGAGTGGAGAAATGTGAGATTTCTCACTGGAGTCACCAATCAACAGTTAAATTAATTATTAATAGACGTTAAGACATAAACAAGCTAATAAACGAGGAATTTTTAAGGAGAATATTTAAAAGCTTTGTGATGAAAGCTTTTAGCAGATAATTAAAAGCTTTTGGGCTTTATCAACGGAAAAATATGATTTTTAAAGTTTAAGTTATTAAAATATTAAAATTATTTTAGAATGAAATATTTTATGTTTGCCATATTTGTTCACATTCAATTTGTATATTTTAACTGCCTTGTCAATGGAACAACGCGCGAGTAATTTATCAAGACGCCGTGTGTCTGAAGAGAATTCTCAAGAAACAATTTACGCGACAAACAATCGTAGATAACGCCAAGCGCGCGCAAAGTCTTTACTTAAGCATAAGTCAAGCCCGTAGATTGGACTTCAAAGCACAAGATGCGACCGAGCTTTGGCGATAGCAGCACATTATTCATTCGTGTGCATTATTACAAAAGACAACAAGCAACAGCGCGCAGCAACATGCGATGCGGCCGGGATGGTGTAGATGTCGGAGATAAATACAAATGTTGTTTCGACAAGTATTACCATACAGTACACACGTACGTAGGATTGACTAATAGAAGAGGCTATTACATGCGAGCCGCAAGCATGCCATGATTATTAAGTGGACGTAACAGAACGCACTTTTCACGCACTCAGGTATTCACGAATTGCTGCTAACAATGTTAATGCATCGTTTAAGTCACTAAATGCACACGAACTTAAGCACATCGATGACGTAAGTGACTATGACGTTTTTATGTAACGGAAGTACATATTTATGATTACATAAGATTTTAGATAATGAGATAATAATTTGTGAAGAATAAAATAAAATTACGATGAGAATGTATATTTGATGTGCCAAAAGGTTAAAATGTAAGAAGTCAAAGGTTATTTCTTGAATTATTCTTAAAAAAGAATAAGAATCTAATAAAGATGCAGATAAATATTACATTAACAAATCTTGCTTGTCTTTTAGACATTTTGTTTTATGAGGTTTGAAATTCGACGAGAGAGTTTAATTGTAGTTTATTTATTGTTTTATATTTACTACTGCTTAACAATTTTATTTTATATGATCATTTATTGACTTAAACAAACGGGATATTGACATTAAACTTGCATGCACTGCAGAGGCAACGAATCAACACCGCTATAACTCAGCAGGACACCAGCCTGTAAAGCACGATTTGTCGCTAATTTGCTATTTCTTCGATTCCAGCGTCGTTTGGTGCATACCCGATCGTTTCTCACCTCGAAGCATGAAAGCGCAGAAAGTTTACATAAGTTTTCAATGCTAATGTTGCGCCAGCGCTACATCTAGTGTTGAAAATTTTAACTGTTGTTATTTAATAGCGTTTTATTTTGTATTCCTGTAATTTTGGTTTGTTTCTTTGATTAGTTATAACTTGCGGTGTGTAGATGTCGCTAGCTGTTTTAAATTTTTTGCCTGCTAGCAGTTTTGAAGAAGGAGGCGTGATACGAGACCCAGCAGGATCTTTAAAGCAACGCATGTCCGCTCAGATCGGTTGCGCACACATTATGCGCATGATGCGTTCGCCCCGTGCGCCTGCCGAATTCCTGCCGCTCGCGATCTCCTATTCGACTCGGTCGCGCGCGCTGAACGAAACGTGTTCCATGTCTCTCTATAAAAAGGGGCTGTAAAAGTGTCGCAGTGTTGCGGTAGGTGAAAATTGTATTGCCCGCAGGAAGAAGCAGGATTACACTTTTCACATGACGAGCATCGAGCTCTACACGAAGGTAAACACACTTTAATATTTCCCTAATGATAAGAATCCATCGATTGCATTTTTATAAAATCAAGACAAATTTTAAGTTTTACACAAAACACACGTTGGCAATATACATAGATTAACGAATGACATGTTCAGTACGTTGATGTTGTTGTTGCGTATATAGTCGTTTGCGTTTTGACTCACACTCCAAACGCTGATAACGACAGTATTTATCAATTTACCTAAGGACGGCAGGTGAGCACATAAGCCGCATGCATCCAGCTGATAATAGATATAGACGATTTGTTAGCGACATGTTTGGCTGAGTGTTTCAAAACAAAATAAATTATTTAAAATGCAAATGCACTATATTTCAATTTTCATTTTTTTGTCCAGAAAAAAAAAACGGAAACAAAATATCGTTAGGTGCGTAAAAATTCCGCAGGATTTATCGAACGTAATAAATTGGAACAATGGCCAATAATTTTAATTTGTCAGCTCGTTCGTTGAATTGTTGATGTGTTGCTATTTAATCAATTACAATTACGATTTATGTCCGATTGCAATACCCGGCATATTTTCTACGTCACGGTGAATTACATTGACGGTGGAGTTTCATTTTGGTTGTAAATTGCATGAAATAAATGCTTATCAACTCGTTTGTCCTGCTTGTGAGAACCGATTTGGATAATAATGGCATAGCTAATTTCGTAATAGTGTGACCAATAGTGTTGACTATATCGATTCCATTAAATAGGGCGGCGCAAACTGCAAACTGCACACTTGTAGAAGTGATTATATATAATGCGACTAAAAATTGTCAATTTCAGTTGTTTCAATGTAGAAAACAAGGTGAAATATTATTTTAAATTTAAGCAATTTTCCAAATCGGGAAATTCAATTATCCCGAGCAATTGTGGGAATAACGACAATGTAAAGTTAATCTTTGTGAGGTGAAAGTCGTACCTTGAACTTTAATCTTTTAGCTTTAAATCTTTTGGTCTTGTTCGTGTTAGGAGTTGTTCTTGCTACTTCAATGTAAAGTTCAAAGATATCTTGTCTATATATGTCTAATGTTTACTTTTTATGTTTTGACGTTTTAAGACCAATTAAAAATTTGATTGTTTATTGTTTCTTGTTCTTTTTTTGTAGTTTGGTATTTGGACCTTTCTATTTTCAGTTCTATGATGATTTATGTTCAGTATATAGGACAGAAAACACAGAAAAAACAACATTAACTGTATCCAATGTTGATGTTTGGCAAATTTTGAGAGTTTTCGACGTTTTGAGAATTCCCACAATTATTCACTGCATTTCTATAGTTTCTTTTCGGGCAGGAAACAAGCGCGTTTACGATTTCACGCGTTTTTATATCAATTAACGGAATCAACTGTTTGTATTCTTTCATTCATTCGTTCATTCATTCATAAGAATCTTTACTGGATTTAAATTATTTATTTAGACACTTTTATTAGGTATTATTAATAATAAAACAAGAAATTCCGCTGTGAAATTTCAGATTTGTGATGAGGTTATCATTTTATTACACTGCAGTGAATGCAAATGTAAATTCTTTATACCTTTGTGGAGTATTTGTGCCACCGACGTCAGAAGCTCGGCTCTAATCCAAACGCACGTTGGAATTTTCATTCGTGCGCAATGGTGGTGCAAATCGATAAATTTCTTGCTTTTCGACGTTCAACTTTGTTTGTGTGGAAGTATCGGAGTTCCGGGTCTATCATATTACAAGTAGTAGTGTAATACTTTACTGCCAGTTATTTTCGTGTGGGAGGCTTTAATGTTTCAGACAATGCACCTTTAAAAATGCAATAAATTCAAAATTAATTCACTGTCAACACTGTTCGCCCTTATTTATTAAATCATTTATCAATATTATTCGTTAAACATCCAGTATGCAGTAATCATGTTGACTGTTAACGTGGAAACTGGAAAACACGGCAAATTGCGCAAAAAGTTTGTAAACTTAGTTCGCACGCAATTTCCAGCTATGGTTTGCTGGGTTTTGATTAATGTCTACCGCAAAAGCAACTCACAGCAGACGTTCAATGTTGAGTGCATTTTATTGTTAATATTTCATCATTTTTGGCCAGAAATTGTCAAAAACAGTATAATATAACGCTTTTTGATAATTACTTTTTATTTTTTCAAGTATTTGCATCATTTTTGTCGCAATTTTATGATATGAGTCATATTGATAATGATTTTTGTTGTTTGCTAATTAAAATGACTCATTTATTGTTGTTACTTCGATTTGTCATCATTATTATTACTTTTATCATTAAAATCTTATGATCTTATTTTTAATCTGGATGTTTAATCAATATTAGATTTAAATTTATTTGAAGTTATTATCAAATTCCTAGTAACATTTTAAAGTTAAGTGAGTTTCTTTGTCCTTTCAGTTCGTGTTTATTTCTGCATGAATATTGACTGTAAATTCAGTAAAAGTTCAAATGGTAAAAGTAGTTATGCGTATGTACGCCACGTTTAGTAGAGGGGATTTATCCGACCTAGAAAGTGTAGGTACTTTCACAAATTTAGGTCACAAGTCAACCTTTCTTTTTGTCCACCTAATACGTTAAATTTAAAGTTTGCAATAGTAGTCCGTATCTATACGCGCAATTTTAAAATGTTGTTGAAGTTGTTTCACATTTTATCGGCAGTTGCCTGCTGCAAAACTGATCGTAAAAGGAAGGAGGAAAGTGTGAAAGCAAGTGGAAACAAGCAAATTCCATTCACAATCAGGAAATGCAAATATATATAAATTTACTACGAAAATTCAATGCAGAACCAGTTATGCAACGTTAATTATTCATTTAAATTATATCTTGCATCACTAATTGGTCAATTAAATTAATTACCGATTTGATAAAGCAATTAATATTATCGCTATTTTAAAAATTAAAAATAGGTAACAAATTCTTAAAACTACAAAGTGTGAAATTACATACTACCTACATCGAACGAATTTAATTGTTGTTTCCTTTGTTGTTTTAAAACCACTACGTCTATATTTCTACGCCTATCAATTTGTTCGCTTTTCTGGTCGGTTCGGTTGGTTCGTCGGTTTGTAATTTAATTTTACTCGATCGTTAACATAATGAACGTTTACCGCATTTACACGCTCGCTGACTTCTCGCATATTTTATTTCTTCAATCTTTTTTACCTTCGATCGCGTATTTTATTCGTTTTTCTCTTTGTTTGTTATTATGTCTATACGTTTATGTATTTACTGATAATGGTGATTTGATACGTAATTATCTCATTTTCTGCTTTTAATTTTGTACTTTTATTCCATGATTTAAATTTAATCATTTGCTTCCTTCCTGTTGGAATAATTAAAATTTTAATTTTTATTAACACTGGAAAAGCTAAACGACATATATAACAATTTATGAAGTATTTAAACAAGCAATTAGTAGATGTTAATGTCTTAAGTCAACAAAAGTGCATTGCTCTCACTTGTTTGTTATAACAACAATATAATGTTGCTAAAATTATTAACTTGATAAAATACATAAAACAACGTGCGAAAATAAAAGTAACATAGAGAAATAAAATTCAATAGCACGTTTTTTTTGTAAAATAAACTTCAAGTTCTGTTGAGTGAAATAAGTTGATTAACCGTCTACTTAAAAATCGTTCCTCATCATTGGTTACATATTTTAACTTTGTAGAGATCAACATACGTGCTCTATTCGAGTTATACAATCACGTTCGCATTCATGTTCACGTTCTTGTTTACTACATATATAATAGTTTCATTTTATCCTTTGTTTCAATTTCTACGAATTATGTTGAGGCAAAAACTTTGTCGTGTCTGAACTTAACTTAAGAAATATTAGATCTAATACACAGGAACTAAATAGTTAGAATTGCATGATTTGTTTTCTTTTGTGCTTGTCTCTTGGCCAAAAATGAACAAATATTTAGTACGTTCACATTCTCGGTTTCAACGATCGCCGCCAAGTGTACTAGTACACGAAGTACAGTTATCTTCTGGTGGTCGAGTGTCCGAACTGCGGAGAACTCCAAGTCGAATCCACTGAACTTGAACCGCAGCCAAAGAGCAACCGAAAGCAAAAACCTTCCTAAATCGTAAAAATTCATTTAAAATGCAAAAACCAGTTTATGTGACGGTTAAATTCATTCACTTCATCAATTTCTTGAATTTTCATTACAAATTTAAAACATTTCTGCCGGCATGTTTGATTGTTGTTGCTGTATAACATGAATTGTAAAGATAACCGATAATAAGATGAAAAGCCGCCGCAATCTTGAAGTTTTACGCGCTTTTGACCTGCCAGGGAACAAAAACTTACCAGAGTTCAACGGCAATGTCTATGATATCAAGTGGAAAGCATCAAAAAGAAAGAAAATTACTTTGGAAATTGCGCGCAATTTGCAGCTCGATTTCACAAGCCGGCTTCAATTCCTTCATCGATCATCCGCTCTTCCAACATCAGTTAATCATCATTATACGTCCAATAAAAACATCAACATTGATTTTATATACAGTGTGTATCATTCTACATGTGTGCATATTTATTTACAGGGGACGAAAGTATGGATCCCTCACCCAGAGGAAGTATGGGTCGGTGCAGAGCTGCTGGAGAACTACGTACCCACAAAGAAGTCCCTCCAGATACGCACAGATGACAGCCAGTCGAAAACGCTGGCGATTGCCAGCGAAAACGACCTGCCCTTCCTTCGTAATCCAGCCATTCTCATCGGCGAGAATGACCTCACTTCCTTATCCTATCTCCACGAACCCGCCGTGCTCTATAATTTACAGGTGCGCTTCTGCCAGAACCGCTACATCTACACTTATTGCGGTATTGTGCTGGTCGCAATTAATCCGTACGATGAGTTGCCTATTTACGGTAAGCATAAGCGCATAACCTAGTCTAACATTTTGCGTGTTTGGTTATACAACACTTCGAACAATAGTAAATATGATGTAATTTAGCATAAACTTCAAGGAAATAAAATGAATTGAAATTTATCTTAAGATGGCGTTACATCAACGCGGTCAATTGAGAAATATAAATGAGAACCAAGGCGCACTCTAAAGAAATGAAATCGTGTGTGAACTTTCGTTTACACGTGCAATTACACGCAATGCATTGCTTGTTTAGTTGTAATGGCAAATTATTAAGTCACTCTCATCACCTACAAACGAAAGCGAAATACTCGTAATTTGTGGGAATGTGAAGATAATAAACTCTAAACTATAAACTCAGTTTTCATTTTCTTGTTTCCTTATAGATTATGATCTGAAATTTAAGTAGCTGGAAATTTAATCTGACTATTGACGCAATTTTACCACAGACATTCAATATTTTCGTTACAATTCACACCTGAACTAGGCTAACAGATTTAATTTCAACCATATTACAATACAAGCTCAATTCTAATCCATTTTTAATAATGTAGATATGGATACAATATGTACTTACCGAGGTCAACCAATGGGCGATCTGGATCCTCACATTTTCGCTGTGGCAGAAGATGCGTACACTCAAATGGAACGCGAGCAGCGCGATCAGAGCATTATTGTTTCGGGTGAATCTGGCGCTGGAAAAACAGTCAGTGCAAAATACACAATGCGATATTTTGCGACCGTGGGCAGTAATGCAACCACCGAAACGCACATTGAACGAAAGGTGCTCGCGAGCAGTCCTATTATGGAAGCCATCGGTAACGCCAAAACTACACGAAACGATAACAGTTCTCGTTTTGGTAAATTTATCGAACTGCAGTTTAACAAACAGAATCAGATCAGCGGTGCATCAATGCGTACCTATCTTTTGGAAAAGTCCCGTGTAGTTTTCCAAGCTCCTGATGAGAGAAACTATCACATCTTCTACCAACTTTGTGCCGCACGGAAGAGTCTCCCATATTTAGAGTTGGATGATTGTACTAAGTTTTTCTATCTGATCCAAGGAGGAAATCCGTATGTTGATGGGGTTGATGATTTTAAAGCTTATGAAGAAACTCTCAATGCTTTGAACTTATTAGGTTTTAAAGAGGATGAGATTACGAATGTTTTTAAAATTGTGGCGGGTATTTTACATCTTGGGAATATTGAGTTTCGGGAATGCATGATTCAACAAGAGAACGAGCAGGACCAAGAGGGTTGTGGGATACAGGTACACGTTGTGGTATTTTTATTCGATTTTATTTTATATCATTTATTAATTTCTTTAATAGAAAAATGACAAACATCTAAAACACCTTGGTAATCTCCTTGGAGTAGACACAGCGGCTCTTCAACAATGGCTCTGTATAAAGAAAATTGTCTCTATGCGAGAGGTTTTTATGAAGCCCATGAGTATACAACAAGCAGTCATGTCTCGTGATGCGCTTGCCAAGCATATTTATTCGGAATTGTTCAACTGGATTGTGGTGATCATCAACAAAGCGCTCGAATCGGATGTCCCCAGGCATAAATGTATTGGAGTGCTTGATATCTACGGGTTTGAGACCTTTGAGATCAACTCGTTCGAACAGTTCTGTATTAATTATGCTAATGAAAAGCTGCAGCAGCAATTCAATATGCATGTCTTCAAGCTGGAGCAAGAGGAGTATATCAGAGAGGAGATCGAGTGGAAAATGATAGATTTTTATGATAATCAGCCTTGTATTGATCTGATTGAGGCAAAACTTGGGATATTGGATCTTTTAGATGAAGAGTGTAGAGTAAGTTTAATAAATATTGATATAATCATTATGGTATGTTTGATATTTGTATTGCTTGATATCTAGATGCCAAAAGGAAGTGATGCGTCATGGACAGAAAAGCTCTACTCTAAATGCGTAAAGTATTCTCACTTTGGAAAGGCAAGGTTTGGTACAACAGCCTTTATCATCAATCATTTTGCGGATAAGGTGCAATACGAAAGCTCTGGTTTCCTTGAAAAGAATCGGGACACTGTGATTGAGGAACAGATCAATGTGATCAAAAACGGAAGCAACCCTCTTCTACAACGGGTTTTTGGTGTAGAGGTTGAGAAACTTGGTCCTTCGAAATCCGGTACTAAACTGAAGATAATTTCTGCGAAACAAACAGCAACCCCTGCAAAATCTCACAAAAAGACAGTGGGATCACAATTCAGAGACTCTCTAAATATGTTAATGAGTACACTTAATGCTACAACACCGCATTATGTCAGGTGTATCAAACCTAACGATACCAAGACATCGTTTGACTTTAACCAGAAAAGAGCAGTGGAACAGTTGAGGGCTTGTGGTGTTCTTGAGACTATTAGAATTTCCAGTGCAGGTTTTCCAAGTCGCTGGTCCTACCAGGACTTCTTCTACCGTTACAGAGTGTTGTGCAAATTTAAAGATATTAACCGAAATGATATGAAAATTACGTGCAGGAATATTCTAACGATGTACATTAAGAATGAAGATATGTATCAATATGGTAAGACGAAAATTTTCTTCCGAGCTGGGCAAGTGGCGTATTTAGAAAAATTGAGGGCCGAAAAGTTGCGAAAATGCTGTATTATCATGCAGAGTACTGTTAGGGCTTTTGTTTGGAGAAAGAAGTACTTGAGGATTACCAATTCGATATATAACATTCAAAGATATGCAAGGGGTTATCTTGCAAGAAGGTAATTTGCCTTTGAATTATATATTGATTAGAATGATATTAAAATATATTATTTATAGATTGGCTGATAAACTACGAAGAAATAGAGCAGCCATCACGATCCAACGTTACGTGCGCGGATGGGTCAAATGGTCACAATATAATAAGAAGAAGATGTTGATGATCAATATCCAAAGATACGCTCGAGGATACCTGGCAAGAAAGAGATTTATGGCGATGAAATATAATGCTATGGTAATGAAATCTTATCCACTCCATAATTCAAATTTATTTATTATCATTTATGTTATAGGCACTAGTTATACAACGTTATGCTCGCGGATACCTCGCAAGGCGCTCGATGCTCAAACGCAAACGTCAGATAATTCTCTGTCAGGCAACCATCCGCCGCTTTATCGCACGTCGCAGATACAAACGCATGCGAATAGAAGCACGTTCCATTGAACACGTGAAGAAGCTGAATAAGGGTCTGGAGAACAAGATCTTCATGCTGCAACAAAAGATTGAAGACCTCAATGTTTTCAAGGAAGAATCCCATAAGGCTCAGAACGAAATCAGTGATCTCAAAGCACGCATGCTTACCTTCAAAGCCATGGAGGTAGAAATCAAGAATTTGAAGTCCCTAATCATTAAAAAGAATGATTCTATCCGAGATCTCGAAACTTCTGTGAAGCGAGAACAGGAGGAGAAGATGGATCTTGTTCATGAGCAAGAAAAGTACCAGAAGGAGATTGATGAAGAGAGGAATCACTGGGACGAGGAAACTAGTAAACTTCGAAAAGAGTTGGATAATATTAACGAAGTGCTAAGAACTAGTGAGCAAGGCACCGAGGAAAAAATCAAGGTCCGTTTAGAGGAAGAGAAGTTGCTACTGCAGAAACAACAGGATAATGAAACTGATGCCTACCAAAGACTGCTTGAGGAATATCATCAACTGGAGACGCATTGTGAAAACCTCCAGGGTCAACTGCATGATATGAACCGGTCCAGCCACATAAGAAATGGACATGATATGAATTCTTTAACTATTGAACAATCGTCAGAGTTTCCCGATCATGGTTATGGTTCAGTGAGGTCTACAAGCTCAAATAATTCTCACGTAAAGTTGGAAAACATTGAATGGAAGACAGATTCTGATACCAATAATGGAGAAGGTGTCCCAGAAGGGCCCGAAAGAACACCTTCGAGTTCTAGTTCCAGTGAAAACACCAAATTTGAAGCTAATAAAGTTGATGTTGCATTGGTTCTTAAATTGCAACATAAACTTGCAGAGGTTGAACGAGAAAAGGGACGATTACAGAAACGCCTTGATGATTTAGAGTTGTCACCAAGGACTGAAAGCGCAGAGAAATCTTTTTGCGACAGCATTAAGATTTCAGAAATGGAATTGTCGAATTCTAATCTGAAATCCCAACTAATGGAATTGCGATCTGCTTTAGATGACGATTCCGGTGGTAAAAATCAGTTGTCTATCCAATTGCGGAACCTCCAAGTTGAGTTGGATCGAAAATCTGAAGAGATTATTCAGTTGAAGAGTGTTCTTAGTAATCAAACTAACAACTTGAAGTCATTGGTTAGCTCAAAATCTAGAACTGGTGAGTACATAAACGAAGATGGCGAATTGGCACTTGCTTATGAAACACAAAAGACCATTAATAAACAACTGGAACTTGAATTGCAAGATGAAAAAGTAAAGTACAAAGCTCACGAAAAGGAGTACAAACTAGAGATTGACAAGTTAAGAGAAGATAACGAAAGGCAACAAAAGATTTTGTCTTCAAATCTTCAAACGACACCACAAAGTCAAACGGAAGCTTTTATGCAACTTGAAATTACTCGTTTAACCGCAGAGAACCTCCAACTTGTTGATAACAATGACCTACTCAGCGACCAATTACGAAAATTAAAGAAACAACTTAAGCTCCTGCATCGCAGATTGAAGGAATTGGGGATCGATTTGGATGATACCGTAAAGGATGACATTATCATTAGTGGTACCTCTGCAGTTGCTACTAAACACTCTCGAAGTATGCCATCTATTAAAAAGAAAGACACAGGTTTTGCGGGCATGTTTGCGTACAAGGAGGGGGCCGAACCCGCAATTGTGCGCGCATTGATTCTCGATTTAAAACCAAGGACAGCCGTAACACTCCTTCCATGCTTGCCGGCTTACATTTTATTTATGTGCGTGCGTCACACTGATTATACCGATAATGAAGAAAAGGTACGACTGCTATTATCGCAGTTTGCAAAAGCAGTCAAGAAAGTAATACGTCGGCGGCAGGAGGACATTGAGACGAAAGCGTTATGGTTATCAAACACTCTGCGTCTGATTCACTGCATGAAGCAATACAGCGGTGACAAAGACTATCGGGCTATGAATACGGAGAAGCAGAACGAACAACGCTTGCGGAACTTCGATCTTTCTGAGTATCGGCAGATGATTTGCGATATGGGCGTTTTTATTTACCAAGGTAATAATAGCTCAATAATAATTCAACGTTATTAATTGTTGTGTACTTTCAGTTTTGGTGGAACAAATGAAAGAGAGAATTCAGCCACTGATAGTTCCCGCCATTTTAGAACACGAGGAGATACAAGGTCTCACTGGCGGTAAACCTGGTTTTAGAAAACGAGCCACCAGCGTGGCTGAGAGCCCTGTAGTGGAAACTGTAAAACCCACAACGGCCCTTTTGCAAGAACTCTCCAGTAAACACAAGATACTCACGTTTTACGCTGTTGATCCAGATGTTATTTCACAAATATTTAAGCAGATATATTATTTCATATGTGCGTCGAGTCTAAATAACTTGCTCCTACGTAAAGAACTCTGTCATTGGTCCAAGGGCTTCCAGATACGGCATAACATCTCACATTTTGAGATGTGGACACGAGAAAAACATTTGGATGTAAGTTCATTGGTATTTTGCAAGAAATTCTAATTTTAACTTTGCACTTTGAAGGAGGCACCTATCCAGGCGGCACTTCAGCCGATAATTCAAGCTGCTCAATTACTACAAGCGAGGAAACACGAAGAAGATGTAGACAGTGTTTGTGATATGTGCAGCGCGTTAACTGCAATGCAGATCTGTAAAATTCTATCTCTGTACACTCCGGTCGATGAGTTTGAGCAACGGGTGTCTCCGACCTTCATCAGAAACGTTAAAGCTAAACTGGGTACTAGAGATCCAGATGGCGATAATCAGGTTTGTACTTTAATTAGAAAAATTTGAACACTGAAAACATTAAAATATTTGTTTACAGAGTCTTTTAATGGATATTAAATACCGGTACACAATTCGCTTCCCGTTCAATCCGTCAGACATCCATTTGGAGGACATCGATATTCCGGCTGCCATTGATTTGCCCATGTTGGAAAAATTATAAGTGAGTGGGGTTTGTAATCTAATTAAATTGTTATCATTTGTTGCCTTTACGAAACCACCAAAAAGAAATCATAAACACAAAAACAATGGGCACATACTTATTAACTATAAATAATCTGAACACATTTAGAAAAAAATACTACAAAACGTAGAAGCGATTTTTGATTTAGAAAAACAAACGAAGTAAACATAGTTCAATATACGATAGCGAAGAGTAGAGCTGAAGACGTAAATTTTAGTTAACCAAATGCTAAGAGAAGCCTACGAACGTTATTTATCCAAGTGTGTATATAAACAAAGTATGACTATGCGTACCTAAACATTATGATTTTAACGTATATTGTCCTAAAAGCATAAAATCGTGTACATATTATTAGGATGCATTTTTACCTTCGTGGTTAATTAATTTGCTACAAAATTGATTTCAATCGATCATATCTTTCACTAAATTCTATTTAGTGCCATTTATATTTATATGCGGTCTAAAAATAGTTTAAATAGATAATTGGTTATCATCCAATGTTACCATTTAGTTTTTGCAATCATCCAACTAAAAAACGAGTAGGCAATATGTCAATTTTAATTGCAATAATTTCATACGTACTTTAAATTAAAGTTATTAAAATATGGAGATGGAAATAAAAGTGACCTAGGGAAATTCAACTTAGAAATGTGATGGAAAAATACCTGAGAAACGTGTTACAAACTAATGAATACAGAGATTTATGGAATGTTAGCAGCTGATATAGATTTAATTGATATACTTATAAAACATATACAAAACGAAGATAATAAAACAAATATAAACAAATAGGTGAAAATATACAGAAGTACGAGTAAAATGTGTGGAATGTGTATAAATATACTTTTATTATCCGATACGGGCAATATGAAAGTTAATTATATTTATTGGTTTCTGTTCGTATAATTTGTAAATTATTAACAACACTTATAAATATATTTAATTAGTAAAATACCAGATTCTTAATATAAGTAAATAAATTTAATATTAGCAACATGTTGAATATGCGGTAATTATATTAAAGAAAATATTTTGAAACTTGAATGTTTTATCATATGTTAAAGATTTGTGTACTAATACACATTTTGTTGATTAAATGGAAAATATGAACAATTAACCATACAAGTGCACTTATATTCCTTAAAATTTAAATGTTACTAGACATGATTTTAACACACGGCGCATAGTGGCAGAAGCAAACCCGACTAGAACAAATATCCGTGCATGTATGTAAACAATTTTTTGTCGAGTTCAGCGAGCGCATCCCACTGCGTATCGTGACCGCGTGTTGCCGCGCAGGCAGTTCAATTCCGGCCATCGAGTAAACCGCGCGTGTGCTCATAGCGACTAGTTTTATTTCTTTATATCATAATTAAGTAAATCGATTTGTATTCAATAAACAATCGACACCATATACCGGAATGATACCTGAACAGAGGTTTGCTAGTGTGATTGCACGCGTAAAACGTTTTTCAACCGTGGAGTAATAGTCAGTTCACCAGTGCGTGCGTGGTTCCGTCGGGTGACGGATATCTTCTTACAGCTAAAAATAACTTGGATTTAGGATTAGTTCCTGCAAATAGACAACGTTGGTGTCCCAGGAAGAAGTTTGTGAGTGCACGATCCATGAAGTTTACAATATGACGGGAGTGTTGGAGATGCGCGCATATAAAGGCAAGTCTTTACTGCAACGGGTCTTGGATAGCTGTAGATATTACTTTATTTAAAAAATGAATATATTGTTAAATATAATTAATAAAACACAATTTAAAATTTCAATCGCATTCACATTTCTTTGTGACATCCTCTTTATCGTTTCCAGGATAAGCGTTTTACATCATATTGCGTATGAATCTTGTGTGCGTCAACCGTGTACAACATAGCTAAGGCTTGTGTTCATAGTGCGATAGTTGGATAAAGTAGAAACATAAATAGAAGAATCAAATATTAATGATAAAAACACTCGGTGGTCGAGTGGAGACGTGCACCTGCTGGCATGCTAGCAGACACGGATCGAATCTCAGGTATAGAAGGCATTTTTCTCAAATATAAAAATGTCAGGTGTAATTTGGGTTGCATATATGAATTGCAACGAAATATAAGAGAAATTGAAATACAAGTGAAGGCAATAAGAGAGAAGTAAGAAAGAAAGTGGAGAACGGGAGAACAGAGAAATAGAAGAATGATTAGTAAAGAATAGGAGAAGATAGAAGGAAGAGAACAGGGGAGGATCAGATTTTTAAATTTTTTGGCACGTGTCGTTATAAGACAGTCTACGGTCGATCTCCCAGAGCGCCTCCGGCGCTCTGGTCGATCGCCCACTGCTTCAGTCCATCCATTGCTCCCGGCCCATCCTACAGCTACGATGTCTCTGCGCTTCATCCCCGAAATTATCAGGCATATCAACAATTTTTATGGTGGGGGATCACCCCCAGAGAGAGGGAACTCCTTATAAGGACAATCCTTATAAGGTCTTGTTCAAATATTTCTAAGTTTTAAGTCGCCTCAGGAGAGGTGACACTTAAAAATATTCTTACAAGTTCTGACCTGTTGCTGAAATGAAAGAAGGAGTACACAAATCATACAGGTTACCTTAACAATTTTTATAGAGGGGATCATCCCCTGAGAGAGGGAACTCTCTTAGAGACCTGTTCCTGAAATGATAGAAGGCGAACACACAAATCAAAGAAGTCAATATATTTTACTATTTCTTTATTAATAATAGAATACAAGTTTAGATTTTACAAGTCAACAAAATACATGTCGCCATATTGAAATAGGACTTACGACTTGCTCAGCCGCGCACATATCGGCAAGTACTACTTCATAAAGTTCAACCGGAATAATAGAATTAGTAAATAGCCAATTTTCTAGGTGACTGATAATAGAAACAAATACTCTCAACACTACAAACGCCGCTCACTCGAAGCTCAGGGAAACTAATATACAGGGTGTTCCAGAAAGAAAATTCAAAATGCAAAGGGGAAAATACTAAAAACGACAGTTAAACCAAAATTTTCACGGACACAAAGAAAAACATATATACAGGGTGTTCTAGAAAGAAAATTCCAAGTTCAAAACAGAGAACACTCAAAACTTACAACTAAAGGTGATTTTCTTCGTGCTGTTAGGAAAACTAATATACAGGGTGTTACAAAAAGGAGATTACTACAACACAAAAGAAAATGCCAAGTTCAAGAAGGAAAATAATAGGAAACACTAAATATAGACAGTTTTTTATAGGAAATCTGGGAAAACAAATATACAGGGTGTTGCAAAAAGAAAATCAATAGTTCAAAGAAGAAAACACCTGGGAATAACAAATTTAGAAAACTTATAATAAAAATCAAGAAAAACAAACATACAGGGTGTTACCAATAAGAAATTTCTAAATTTAAAAATACAATACAAAAATTAAATAGAAAACGACCCGGAAACGACAAATTTAGTCTGTTTTACATTAGAGAGCAAGGAAAATTAATACATAGGGTGATACAAGAAGGAAATCGCTATATTTAATAAGAAAATTCAAAATTTTCCATGCATGGAATTATATTCACGCTTAGAGAGGGTGAAACAACGAAAATACAATTACATTTTAATTTAAGAGTAAAGAGCTAGAAATTTTGAAATTTTCTTTGCGACGGATTCTCCAGATACGCCACAAGCAAGGCAAAATGTATCCGCCGACGGCAACTCAAGCACACACGCGGAAGGAAATTTAAATCGTCTTTTTACAAATATATTAGTCTCAATAATTAATTGCCAAACTACGAAAATACGTTAAAGAGCCTGTAGATTTATGAAATGAAATGAAAATGCAAGCAAGGAAAATTTCACGTTATTAAACCGATGATTGACATGACCATACTCTGCGGGTAGATCGAAGTCGCATCCGACGGCACGCATCAATTTTGTTTTATTACGGTACTCACGTTACATGCGATTTAAGATAAATATGACATTATGATGTAATACCGTTTACAAACTTACCAGTGCATCAGGTAATCAAAGATAGTACTGAAACAGAAAAAAAATACGTGTGTGAGAACTCGCACTATGATGCACACTTATTTAAATTCGTTTTGTCGGATAATGAACATGTATTATTTTAACACACAAATTTCACGGAATATCTTGCTAAGGAGAGCCGTTAATTACACTTACTTAAAATTACGAATAGAATACATATTTCTAATTCCAATTCTCAGCATCGAAATAATCCAAGAGCCGACACGCACTTGTAAACACGAGTTTTATAATCATTTTACGCGTAAATCAACCTTAGCAAAACACTCCACACGTCTGTTGTCTTTCGGTGCTGTAATTAATGCTGATTTATAATCAATAAAATGTAATGTAATCGGAATGAATGAAATAATGATGCCGAGCCACGTGCAGGTAAGAACAGACTGAAGCGGTCCAACGTTCGCAACGTGAGAAGCAGCATTGCGCACGTTTATACCGATATAAAAACTTGTTTATACACAAACCCCGATAAGAGTGTAGAATTGAAATAGAACATTTCTGATGTGCATTAAAATAAAATAAAATAAAATATAATATTTCAAATTTCGGCGCAACTTTACAAAAATTATCAAACATATTGCACAAATAGTTCCCGAGACACAGCCAAATTCCATTTTTTTTACGCAATTAACTTCAATACAGGAAAATACAGAATTAAATTACGCATCAGGGATAATTAACCCGCGTTTGCGGGTTATACTAAAAAAACTACAATTCCTAGCGCAACGAGTACTACGGCGCACACACACAACTTTCAATATAACTCGCGTTATGGAACTTTCTGGCAATAAATTTCAATACAGGGAGATACAGAATTAAATTTTGCAACAGAAAAAATTATTCCGAACTTATTGTGACACCGCGTTCGCGTGTTACATTAAAAAAAACTACAATTCCTAGCGCAACGAGTAGTACGGCGCACACACACAACTATCAATATAACTCGCGTTGTGGAATTTTCTGGCAATAAATTTCAATACAAGAAAATACAAAATTAAATTCTGCATCTGGAAAAATTATTCCGAACTTATTGTGACACCGTGTTCGCATGTTACACTAAAAAATCTACAATTCCTAGCGCAACGAGTACTACAGCGCACACACACAACTTAAATATAACTCGCGTTAGGCATGTTCTCGCAAACATCTAAATCAACAGACGGCAAGCGACGGCACGTAGAAACACAGTGGTTAAAAATGATAAAAATAACTATTTCTTTGTAAATATTAAGATATAGTGAGACTGCGAAAATGAAAAACTATTCACCGTTCAAGATTTTATTTCAACAAGAAATTAATTAAAAAAAATTAATGTTGCAATTCGATTAAACATGTTTACGTGATCCTCGAAAACATGACCAAACCGACGGCCACATGAATATTGTCATTTTAATAATCCTCAGATAATTTTAAAAACCTTATTAAATTAAGCATGTTATTTTCGGAAAAACAGCTTAGAAAAATTCTGATAAAAATGCCACCACGTGTTTGTAATTTACAAAATTAATATCCCTCAAATTGAATAATCAATTTAAGTTAAACCGCCTTAACTTTCCGCGAAACATTTTAATTATCCACCTACCTGTGCATTGATGAGATTTTCTATCCGGTAATATATTATATCAACTGAAAACTCACGAAGGGATTAACGGACACTTATTTCTCACTTAAGAAGACTCTAACCGCCATAAATCATTAAACAAAACAGGCACACATGCTCATTTCAAATATTTTGCCGATGGCCGAAAGAATACACGACGATTAATCCAATTAAAACCTCAAAACGCGTGGCGATTAGAGAGACACGCTCGCGGACCACGCGGTGAAACAACTGCCGTGTGCGCTGCGCGTAGCCGGGTACAAGGCGGGTATGCAGCGATAACACGCGTCAGGCGAACAAGAAAAGTTGTTTATACACAAACGTACTGATAAACACGTAGTTTGGAAGACGAAACTAAAAATTCACCATGTTGTAATACACATACACAAAATTTACTTTTACTTTCAATATTTCTCGGCATACGAAAAGAATAAGTTAGTTCAATTGGAAATTTAAGAGATGAAATTTTAATTCTTAAGAAATAATTGCCAAGGGGGGGTGCTTGATACTTTTTTTCGACGATTTTTGATAATTAATATCTCTTAAACTAAAAGCGATAGCTACCAACGAATTGTTGATTATGAAAGATTGGAAAATTTTCTATCAGGTAAAAACATAAAATAATTATATTTCCTATAGTAAAAGGTCGAAAAATGCGACTAAAAGTGCTAAAAAGTGACATTTTTCAATTTTTGGCCATTTTATTCAATCACGAATATCTCCTAAACAAAACTAAATGAAAAGGAATGAATCGCAGAGTCTTAATCTACGAAAAATTCTCTTTTAAATAAGCTTGTTAAATTGGCAATCTAAGAGATGAAATTTTAATTCATAAGAAATAATGGACAAATGGGAGTCAGCTATACAATCATGCACGTACGGTACCTTGAACACAAGTCACTTCTACCGCTGCCCTTGTACGGTGCCCTGAATACGAGTCACTTCTACCGAGGCCCTCTTTTAAACTAAAAACGCAAGCGACCAAAGGATCAAAGAATATGAAAGATTGGAAAATTCTCCATCAGGTAAAATTTAAAAATAATTTCTTTCCGAGGAAAACAAAACAGAAATATGCTGCATGCAATATAAGCAGATGGCAATGCGACACAAAAATTTTGTTAAGACACAAACGTTGATAAATAAGCAATTTACTAGTTTTATCTATGAATTATAGCGTAAATAAAAGCAAACAAATTTCCAAAAATCTCCTAAAAATAAAAATGAAAAACCTTTCAGTGAGATGAAACAAGAATTGCCCTTAACAAATTTTTGTTTATGAATTATTCTCGACCTCTCCTATTTACGCAATTTAAATACCTTATCTTATAAAGAATTTTGCATCTTCAAGTTCAACTCTTATGCTTGTGTAAGCAAAGGAAAAACTACTAAACAGTTAATTTTGAGATGTATCAGCCGGGTACGCGACTATCTTATGTATAGGAGGACGCAGAAATTAACACGAAAAATATAATTGAATTATAAACTTACCAATGCAGAACTCATGGGACTCCAAAGCACGGCAAAGACTGTAAATAAAAAAAGAAAGCATAAGTTAAAACCAAAATATTTCATACGACTCAATAATACTATAATCACACAGTGGGGAAAAACAAACAATCTGTGCTGTTTGGCTAAAAGTTACTTACACCAGCACGATGGGTCATCCTAATGATGAATATCAAATCAACATGGAGGCGATACACTTAACCGGCATTTATGGACAATAAACGCGCAAACTGTAAATAACATTATTATCGGAGATAGTTCAGTAGAATCGCCATTAACACGCGCGATTCACCCAGTGTCCGAAATAAAACTGCATGTACGATGCACAGGCGACGGCGACACGCGGTTACTATCAGTTTGCGATATGCTCGCTGAACGCAACCTTGGTGCACGGTTGTTTCATTTCGCTTGTGAGCTGAACGCAAATCAAAACAATGTTTACTCACAAATACAAATAAATACAAATATGAAACTTACATACAACTTCAATGAAATTGACTGTTCTGATTATACTGCATGGAAATCAAGTTTTAATAAAAGAAGACAATTACAAATAAAAGTAGGTAACAAACCGATTGAACCGTTAGCATCGGTTGCAGCGTCCGCCGGAGAATTGCAAGATCCGCAAACATATACGAGTAAAATAAAACAATTAAATAGTGAACATTTTGTAGTCTCTCTTTTTGAATCTATTAGATCGATGAGAATTTTGCAAATTACAAATAAAACCGGCACAAAATTATTCAAAATGCATTAAGTTTAATTAACTTGACATGTAAATTAAATATGTACCTTTTCTTGCTTGAACCAAGCAAAATTCCAGTTGAATCGGCATCCGACGGCAACTCACACGCTTGCCAGTGAACACGCGCACTTCATGAATATTCAACCAACACTAAAATAATTGAAAACCACCAAATAACAAATCTATTAAACGACGGCAGTAAATTTGGATTTCAATTAACGCGATGTTTCAAATAAAAAAGAAAAGAAACGCGACGAGCCGTATTGAATACGCTTGATTCTGCAAGCGCACAGGTAACGCGTCGCTTCGCGTGCACCGAAAAACTAACATGTTCTTACCTGAACCAGTTACAGCACGCGAACAGTCCTCGTAGAGACACCTCACAGCAATGTTCCACACTACAGCAACAAAAAACGATGTTCTTGAATGTAAACACGCACTGATAAATGCATCGCCGAACGTGTATCATATTTAAGATTTATTTCATAGTTTCACACTTCCATGTATTTATGTGAAGCTGAAACTAAGCAAACTGAGAATAACAGTGCAATAAAATTGTTATTTCAATATATTTCATTAGATTAAATATTGGAAGTTACAAAGAGCATTACAAATCGTTTCATTGGTAAAATAATAAATGTACACTTAATGTTGTTAACCGTTAGGATTAGAATAAAAAGTACATAAAGCAATTGTATATCAAACGATTAATATTCGAATGATAGTCTAAATACGTGTATAAACATAATTCAAAAGTCAGTATTAAACGCGCATTAAAGTTACAACGTAAGTTAAGTTGTAAATGCATGTTTCTCTCATAAGTATAAGTATTTAACTTCATCTTATCGTACAATTTCATTTGCGTTTGCTTTTCATAATTAGTTCTTTGTATTAATTTCTAAATGCTAGTTTTGTATATGTATACAGGAGACACAAATCGTTATTCATACTTTGAAGTCATCTACGTTTTTATGTTTTTTTTTATCATGGTACATTCCGGGAGCACATTCCCCGTACTTGTTTTACTAGATAGTACACATTCGAAAGGAACACAGTCAAAATTTCAGCTCTGCGATGATTACCGCGAAGGAGGAGGTGAGTGTTGCTCGGAGAGGCAGTAATTGTTCAGTCGTTATAATTCGATATAAGTAAGGTGCGTATCAAGTTGTGCGCGCCCAGTTCGCCTTCGCAGAGCTTCACTTTTTGTATCACTAATGATTGCCAATCTTCTTCATATCTTCGACATTGTGGGGACCTTAATTCTTAAGTTTAAGTTGTTTGTTACAGCAGTGTTTCAAAAGTACAGTTTTTTGTATAGCATTTTCAAGTATACGTATAAAGTTTTGTCTTGCAATAGTCGCCAAAGACCCCCAAAATGCGTTACACAGGTATTCTTTACGTTTTACTTTATGATAATGTGATTACGGATATGTTTGCGTGTCCATTGTTTTCGTACAAATCGCATCTATGGCGGCTTAATTATGTTTACACGTTTACGCAGTCAAAATGAAATACTTAAGTGATGTCATGTTATTACTAGGATATTCCTTCTCTCTTTGGTATGTATGCTTTAATCAATACTTAGTCTGAAAATGCCAAGGAATTTGCATTGTAATCAATCGTATATGGTACTCAGCAATGTTGATAATATTAGCATTGCAGAAAACAGTTCAAAATCGCTACGATTAAAAGAGCTTCAAAACCACTCGCTTAGAAAAAACTTGCATCAAACAAAAACGAATTCCAAATCAAAATCATAATCAATACAATTAAATAGTCATCGTTAAAACTTGCAAGCACAAAAAGAGATTAAATGTAAGTAAAGATTACAAAGATGAACAATTACATCCAACTTAATTCATATGACGGCACATTTGAGAATTACAAAATTGATACAAACTAATAAGCAACAATTTGGTACCATCGGAACTCGTCAGGTAACAATGTTGCTTTCGTCACATTACTGGTTGGAATTGCTTTAGTTCAGCTTGGTAACAAAACTAGAGAAATGACACAAAATTGAAATAGTCTGCACACTACGGCTTGCGTTTGTAAATTACACTGCATTTTGGTGAGGCTTGCGTGTGAGTGTGATTATTGCTGGAAAAACGTAAACTTTAACTGTTAAGGTGGTACGTACGGTGGGGGTTTCCGATATGTCGGCGTGGGTTTAGGCCGCGCCTGCCGATTGTTGTCCTGAGGGCGCGAGAAGGGCGGAGGTGGCGGTTGGTAAGGCTCCGAGTCATCGCCTAGTTTCAGCGAACCGCTCTTACTGTACTCGGGCGGTGCCAGAGGCGGCTTCTCGTCCTTCAAGATTACAGGCGCCTTGGTACCTAAAACGCACACGTTTAGACTACACCCGCGATTTGTCCACCGAAGAAAAAAGCACAAAAGCGCAATGAAAACGACAAAACAAGGAGATTATCGAAAAACAACTACGACTTATTTGGCTTTCCTACTAATATCTAATATATTACACAAAGAAAGAAGACAGCGAAACAGCAAACACATTTAAAACAAAGTTCACCACAAACTAATAATAATTAAAAAAACGAGTACACATTGTGTGATGGTTGCGTGAAAAGTGTGTTAGAAATTGTTTATGTATTTTATAGTACCTGGCTCGGGTTTCTCTTCGAGCTCTTCTTGGAATATCACCGGAATGCCCTTGTTACCATAGGAGGAGCGTCCGTCCTCTGCCATATTGAGTTTTCCCGTCCGCCGGCGTCGGTACATCACGCACGCGACAATTCCGGCCAGCAGCAGCATGCAAAAGATAATAATCGCCGGAACGATGAATGTAATCATGTAATCATCATGATCACCCAGTGGAGGTTCTTCAATTGGAACACCCTTGCTGTTGGGCGAGTGGATATGTGGTTTGCCACGACAGTTTCCTATTAACTGAAGTTTAATTGTTGAGACTTTGAACTCCGGATCCATCACATCTTGAACACGGCCAGCAATCGTGTGGTCCTTGTTAACAAGTACAGATTCTAGCTGAGAAATCTGTGGTCGTGGGCATTCGTCCAAAGTTAGCGACTTGTTGTACCAGCTTACAATTGTGGACCCGCGTCGGATAGAATTCAAGTGAATATTACTAGTGTTACTATCCCCGAAGAGATCAGCAACCTTCTCAACGAATTTGCGTTGCATGCTAGCGCTCGTTGCGAACGATTCGTACTGAGTGTCGAGAGTCATAATAAATTCGAGATTATAATGGCGGCGGGGAGCAGAGTGCACGACAACAACAAGCATGTCGCTGGCAGTGAGATTACCGCTATCCTTGCAGACTAGCTGAAATTCTTTGCGACCCACGTTGTCAAGCAACGGAATACCATAAAACTCTTTATTTTTACTATCAAACTGTAACCAATAGTTTGATGGTATCGGATGTCCTTCAGCGGTCAGAAGTGACATTTTGAGATTTCTCGGATCTGTATCTTCCGGATCATAAAAAGTATCCTAAAAACTTGTGTAAATTAATAACATTTAAAAGTTTTACCGCAGTACTTACGTCAGGTACAGCGAAAACTAACAACTCCCCAACTGTTGCATTGATATGATCCACCGCATTTCTCAAAATCGGAGAGAAATTACTTGATGGCGTAATAGGAGCCAATGGAGGTGGTGGCGGTTTGGCTGGTTCGGTCTCACAGATTCCCATCGTATGATAGAGCACCTTTTTGATGCGCAATTCTGGAATGAGTGCTCTGGTGAGCGCGTGTGATGGATCACCCTCATTATTCGCGGTCAAAGCCTGCACGGCAAAAGACACGTTAAAATATTAAAACCCCAAAAAGATTTTTACAGACCTCGTATAACTTTTCGATGTCTTCCTTTGGGCAGTAATTCTTAGCTAAAGAATCATTTGTCCACACGAACACCACAGGCTCACTGGTGTAGTTCACCTTCCGAACGACAATGTCGCTTAAATTGCTGCGATAAAGTTGGCCGACGCCTCGTAAAGTTTTCAGCGCCCAGTCCACATCATGTGGAAACTCCCACTTCTTCTCCACATGCAAGTACAGCGAGAACTCGTGATTGACGACCCGTTTCGACTTGTGATTCTGCACCAGAATCTCCACAACGTCTTGAACAGATGCACCCTCGTGGTCTGTGGCACGAAGAATATATTCCCACCGGGAGACGTCGTCGTCCAATGGCCTAAAAATAAAATAATCAAATGATCAGCGTAAACTCGAGAATGTTAAAAACACTTACAGTCCATATATTTCCCTCGAGCCCTGATTAAATTGACACCATGATGATTTATTCAACGCCTTGCCATCGGCGTCCAACAATTCTAACACCAAATCGGTGCCGTCCTCAACATCGGTGAATGTATCCAGAGGCACGATGTAGTTGAAAGCCTTGCCTGCGGTGGTTGCAATACGCTTCAATCGATTTTGTATCGATGGCGGGAAGTTCTTCAGCTCAAACTCGACCGTCTCGGTCTGCGCTGCTGTTGAAGCACTTTGTGTGGTCGTCGGCAAATGTCGCACAGTCGTCTGCTTGATCGACGTCGTCGTTTCCGGCTCCGCTTCGGTGGTCGGTCGTTCTGTAGTAGTTGTTGTGGTAGTAGTAGTGACCGCTTCGGTGACCAAAGTTGTCGGCGGAGTGTCTGGAACTGTCGTCGATTCAGTTTGCTCTACAGTAGTTGACTGTGTGGTCGCCGCCAATGTGGTCGTCGATGGCAAAGACGAAGTTGAAGTGACGGGGACGGCTGCAATCGTTGTAGTTGCAGGCATAGGCGTTGTTGTTGTTGTTGTTGTTGTCGTAGTTGTAGACGTTGTCGTTGAGAGAGGAGTTGTTTCCGGTACGAGTTCGATGATTTTGGTCGATTGAACGTCCGGGAATGCATCGTCGCGTTCTGTGACGAGTTCCAAATGCGGTTTGACATCTACTGGCAGTTGGCCAAAATCAGGAAGTTCTGTTTCACTCTCTGGATCATCTTCATCTTCGTATTCTTCTTCATCCTCATCATCGTAGTTGAATTGATCATCAGCGTTACCAGGGAGTGGAATCTCATCGGTCTTTTCTGTTGCTACAACATGTTTGTGTGTTGTAGTAATTACTTCCTCTGTAGTTGTCTTGATCGTGGTTGAAGGCGTTGTGCTTGAACTGGAAGTATCTCTGCTGTCAAAGAACGTTGGATTACTTGGAAGTTGACCATGATGATGGCGATGGTGATGCGTGGAAGTCGCTTCTTGCGGAGTGGTCACTTGGATTACGGTCGTAGGAGCCTCCGTCGTTGTTGTACTTGTTGTCGTGCTCATTGTTGTGGTACTAGTTGTAGTTGGTGCAGGAGTAGTTGTGGTTGTAGTTGTTGTAGTGGGACGAGTGGCTTTCGTAGTGGTGGTCGTTGTGCGCGGCGTGACAACTTTCGTCTCTTCGTCATCATAGTCGTAATAGTCGTTATTGTCGTCATAGTATTCATCCTCGTAGTCACCACTACCTGCGCCACCTTAGAAAAACAAATCAACAAAGTTTCACAAAAACAATACGGGTTTATGTGTTTGGTGGTCACGATAAGCTAATCGATGTTGACACTCACCATACTCGTCGGCTTGTCGTCGCGCACGGAAACCTCGCGTTTCCGTTTCCGCCTTAACGCGCCAGCCAATGAGCGGCAGGCGCAGGACTTCCGTGATGGTGCCATCGCGTGCCTGCTGCTTCAGCTGGTGCACGATAGTGGCGGCATTCTCCGACAGTCGGCCATCGCAGCCGACGTTGACTAGAATCGACGCGGTCGTCTTGGACGAGCGCACGCGAACCGTGCCAGGACCAGCAAGGATGACTGAGCTATCCGACAGGTCATCCGAATTTCTATAGGGTTCTAATTTGAAGGCACTCTGCAAACCGATTAAACACCCACATTATTAAATCGTTCAAATTTAAGTATCTGTGGAATGCTCACGTAAGGTAATCCAAAGAATTTGGCGATATTATTGATGGCAATTATCCGCTGTTTGGGTTTAATGGCGTGCACGTCCCTGTCTACTACCAGGGAAAGCACCGTGTTGCCCTCACCCTCCGGACACTTCCGTTTACTTTGCGCGTCTGGTTGCTCCCGGACGGCAATCAGCGTGAACTCGTTGCTTGAGGTGTCGTTAGCGCGGATCGTCTTGACGACGGCATGGATCTTTCCCTCGTCCTCAGCAAGTGGCAGGCCCCAGAAAACCCCAGCTACCTTGTCGAAGAGCAGCCAGGCGGGTAGAGATTTTACGTCCACACGTTTCGCCTATAAAGTAATTTTTAACGTCAGGCGGCTCGTCGGTGTAATAAAAATGTAAAAAATTTATGCCCGGGATAAGACCATGTCTTCAATCGATAGTAAAGGCCTTAAAGAGAACCGGAAACATGTTATAGTACTTTACCTCGTACTTGACGTGTTCCTCCTTGGGCAGAGCGTAGTGAAATACTCTGCCGACAACGGCAGTCAATTGCGGTGGAACTTCGAACAGTTGCCGGCTGCTTTCCGGGTCGAATTCCACCTCAAAGTCTTCAGCAACTTCGAACCCAATATCTTCATCGACGAAAGCGGTGCACAACGTAAGCAACACCGCCAGCAGTGTTGTCGTCACCGCTAGGAAATGATGGCTGGTGTGGCGGTGGCGATGGGAAGACGACATTCTGAGATTGTTGATGCGAGCGCGAGCTTCGTGTGGTCACGTTAACATCTGCAACAAGTCGCCAACTTTAGAAAACTAATAAAAAAACAAGCGGAGGATGTACAATTGAAACTTTGAAAATTCCGCTCATCAAATTCAACAAATTCTAACTTTGTAGTATGAATTGGTAATGACACTAAAGTGCTTCATGCTTGAAACCAGAAGCTATAGTAAGGCACGTCGAGAAACGGCGAGTGAATAGTGACTGAAAACTGTTGGATGGGGTGGAAACGAGATTGTCTTAAAACTAATGCAATTAGACAAGTTAGATTAGGATGCACGCGAACAAGCGGAATGAAGCCGGGCGAGCCGGCGTGTGTCTCCTGTCTTCGCCCTCCATCGACGCGCTCGGGAGACACGTGTTGATGAAAGCTAAGTGATTGATGGCTTCCACATCACTCGCGCGTTCACCAGCAAGTAATAACATTTCCTTGCTCTCGCACATGCGGCCATTACAACTTTCAGCGTGGTAATCAAAGATGTTCATATAAATATTAGTACATCCGCAAATGCATCATCCGAGATTTTAAAGTAACGACAATCAAGTTGTAATGCATCATATAACAATTAAACAAAAACTGACACTGTCAAAACGTATCACATTAATTAGTAATACGCAGAACCAAGTTTAATCAAATTAGTAACATATACATTAATAATAATAAATTTCCGTGAACATAGAAAAAAATATAAAAATGATATTGGCATCATGCGCTTACGAAGTCAAATTTCACGACTGGGACTCCTCTAATTGTTATGGAACCTATAAATCCAAAGTAAAGGCTGCCTTCAGTGATATCTCATGGAGTTGCGAGGGCACCTACTTGGGAACTGTGCAGTCCACCGGAAAAACCTCGATACTCAGACCTCGCTTCAACCCGTCTTTTATGAATGAACCATTTGTTACCGAGGGAGAATCCATCAACGTCGGATGTGTCAAATCTGTACAATTTTCAATGACCGAAAACAACCTCATTGCCCTTGGTACAAGTCGAGGTGATGTAATCCACTATAACTTAGCAAGTAAATACTCAACCATCGTCGTGGATAACATCCCTGGGATTGTCCATTATATAAACTATGCCGCTGGTGATAGTTATCTAGCAGTTGCATGCAGCAATGGTCAAATTTTCATCGTCCAGGTAGGAGTTGGCATCTCCGAATCATATTTTGTCCCGCAGAGTGAATGTATCACTGCCTTGACCACACACCCAACAATCCCGAAATACATGGCCGGAGGGTCTAATAAAGGGGTCATCGCTGTGTGGGATGTCAATTCATCGTTCCTGGTTATGCAAAACACTAAACCAGATGCGAAAATATTGGATATTGCTTTCTCACCAGCGGATAACATCTTCACAGCTATTGGGAGCGACCAAAAAATTGGAATCTACGATATGCGAATTGGTGAATGTGTTCATGAGAAACCCTTTGATATACCACTAACTGCGTTTGCGTATTCTCCGAGAGGAAATGATATTGCAGTAGGTTCTGGTCAAGGACATATTATGGTCATGGATACAAGATACCTGCGTTCAAGCAAGAGCGTCATCAAAGCCCATGATCAATCTGTGAATAAAATGAGGTTCCAGCAAGAGAGACTCAATCACTTCCACTGTAACAAATCATCCATTGCATCCACGTGTAGCCTATTCCAAGAACCCGAACGGGAAAGAATACTTCCAGGTGTAAAATCAGACATGCTCATCTACCAAGCTGGAGACGTACGTGATACGCTTCCTTTTATGGAATCAGCCAGTAATGTCCGAATGGGACATACTTCTCCAGGTAGAAGCACAGGTTCAAGTCCTCCTCCAGGTCAATTACAGTCGGATAATACAGGTTTACCAACACCTACACAGAAAGCAGTTGGAGAAATGTCCATGTTTCATATAATCGACGAACGTGCTCTTCAGGAGATAAAATGCAAAGTCTTACAAAACACCAAGGATTTGATTGATCAAGTTGTTGACCAAGTCAATAATGATTTTCTGAAGATGCGGATGAATGTCAGCCGAGAGTTTTGTAACATGGAGCTGCGAAACAAAGACCGCTGGCAGGAATTCAATGATACCTTGATGATGATTGCAGGTTTGGATGATCGTCGCCTAGATGAAGAATTCCGCATGGGTGTGATGCATGAAGCAGCAGTCAGGGATACCAACAGTCACAAACATGTTCGAAAAATAATTAAACCACCACCAGATGATGATAGTGATCTTTCTGAAGATATCACCTTCGATGAAAACCTCCCTGCGTACTCTGATCATATCCTAGAGCAGCAAGAAATAACCCTGGATGAAATAGACTATCACGAAAATGATGTACCAGAGGTTTCAATGAAAGAAACTGTTATGAGAGCGACTACATCCATGGCGAGTGGTTTTCCACCACCGCGCCCTTCCACATCTCGTCAACATGAAGAAATAAAACTTCCTAGTCCCAAACGTTATGTTTCACGTTTACCAAAAGCGGAATCTCCGCGCAGGCATCAAATTAATCTGAAGATGACTTCATCCAACATGCCAAATATATAAAATAAACATTTTTGTAATAAAATTTTAGTTGAAATTTGCATGATTATTCGATTTTCGTTCTTTTTTCGCTTACGCACTGCTCATTAGCATAACTGACACGTCTTGTTCTGTTCCTTTCGACGGGAAACAAAAGCGCCGCAGCTTTTCAATTCATAATAAGTAACGCAGGGCGCCTTGCCGAAAATATTAAATTCGGATTCTGCGAAAACCAAATTTCATTCAAGCCTCCCTCTGTTCGCGTGAATCTAGTACGTGCGCGCATTAAACATGAAAAATGCCACTTAATTATTAACGCCATTGTTTCGGCGGTTATTAATCACCGTGGCTATGTCTGAAATTCCCGAAAACCGAGACGTAAACTTCTTCCAACGAAATCTACAGGGAGTTGTGATCAAATATGAACAAAACAAAGCAAATCATATTGTCAGCCATGTTTAGTTGAGCAGAATAAAAGAAGTAATCCTTTCATGGAGTTGTTTATGCAAAAATCTCATTAAAACGCCCCTTGGAGACCGTCCAACGCTTTTCACCCGCGGCGTAAATTGGAAATTGTGCAAATTCGCTTTGCTATACTTTCAATTAAAAGCGTAACACGGCGCAATTTGTGTGCAGGGCAAGCTGTTGAATGGCGGTCAGCGTCCCCGACCGCAGAATGGTTGACAGTCTCGAAACTAGTTTGCATCCGCTTTATCACAGGGTATTCAAACACACAAAAGTTACAAAACATTCAAAAACTATTTAAAAACTTCATTATATAAACAATGAAGCAAACAATAGTTTTATACTTATTTGGTTGAAATGAATGAAAGCTCAAATTGGATTTCTGAATATCCTCTCGGGGGAAATAATTTTGATTGTATATCTTTGGTTCTCTGACCGTGAGCAGCGCACATCTGGCATACGTACGTAATAATTTCGAAAAGGACCACGACCAGACGCGGTCATAAATTAAAATCGATCGTTTGCGAACTGTAAACTGCACAAACTGCCACCATACGGGCGAATACAGAATTCAGAACGAGGGTCAACTGGTAATTGCCCAATTGCCCAAACTAAACTAAACTAAACCAAATGCATTCAGCATTTAACATCTTTTCAAAGGCAGATCCAGCCGAGTGATAAATCTACAAATTTATCGTCACATAAATTAATGAATTATTCGAATGTTAAAATATCACTGATTCGTTTTCAGTGTGTAATTCGAGTGTGATTGCATCATATTGACAAGCGCGAAGCAAAGAGCGAGAGATGATCGTCCCCAATGGCACTCGGGTTGGCGCTCATTGTTTGATTAATTATGCAGCCAGCTAATGCGGCGTGTAATTAATCCGACGACCACAAGCACGCGCTGTGCGCGCCGCTTCTTTTAACGCATTCATTATGCGTCGATCTAATCGCGTGCGCCATGAAAACAGAAGGCTTTTAGTGTTTTAGCTGAACCGTAACCGATCCGAACTGAATTGAACTGCATTCAGCGTTTGATTGCATTGAAATTTCGTTTTAATTAGGTTACCATCAGCTGGGATTTTTATTTTTAGCTGATATAAATTTATTAGCTCTTCTTGTTGAAAGAAGTGAAAATTTTCGGAATGAAAATTCCATGCGACATAATTGACGAGACGAATGTCGTACGCGTGTGCTATTTTCAATTCCAGTCGGCAACAGATTTTCCGCAGAATGTATCACAAGCAAAAGTCAAGATTGGTAGACTTCTCTGAAGTTGTGAAGTTTCAAGTTGAACTCACGGACGGCGCATGGAACAAGGAACAACGTGGAATTTCATTAAGTCGCGCCTCGTAAATCTACATTTTTCATCGTTCGCCGCGACAATTTACAATCGGGGACTTGTTCAGCGTGCACAACGCTGCAGCGATGAGAAACAATGAAGTTAACGCCCATATTTTTCATCCACCTGCGTGGAAAATCTAGTTTCACGTCAAAATTGCGTATTTTTACGTTGTACAACTTAGAAACACACATTTTCGTAAGGGGATTTTCTGTAATCATGAGGGTTGATGTAAGTGTGATTAAATTAGACGTAATATCTGTGTTTGCGTAAGCCGCACGAAGCAAATATGAAATTCGTGAGCGAGTCAAGTCACAAAAGTCCACAGGCGGCTACAGGAACGAATTACGAGGGTCGCGAGCACCACAATGCAACACATGTTTTTGCTTGTACCAAGAGTTCATAATAATACTTCCAAACAAGAGCGTTTCTTGCGTGGGGTTAGAATGTTTCAAGTTTACTCCTACACAAGCTTTATAAACAACTTTGCGCCCCCCACAAACAAGTAGAACTTGTAATAATAGGTCAAAGTGTAACTATTTCAACTATACGCACAAAAAACTAGGTATTTGAACTCGGAATTGTATAAAATGATTAAATTTGTTAGAGCAATTAGTTTATAATTCCGCAGGATAGAAAATAATTAGTCTTGATGGACGTGCGACAGTTTCGGCGTGTTTCTTCATCAATTTGCTTGCCGTTCATTTGCCAGAGTCAGCTGTCGCTCGGTTTTATTGTCTTTTTTTTGTCGGGCAACTGTTGGGCGCAATATGCACACTACAACAAGCGGCGGTTTTTGATAAAAGACGAGAAGAGATTAAACGACAAGCTGAAGGCGCCCGACTTGAGTATGGAGGACGTGATGAAAAATAACACGAGTTTGCGATCGTGGCAGCTCGTGGCTTTTATTTTTTATGTTTACAAGAGATTTGCCAGGAAGTTGTAGAGGAAAAATGTAATAAGTGGCGAAAGAAATCAAGAGATACTTGATCTTCATAGCGTTTCTCTTGTTTTCGAAAAGAAATCTTTTTAGATACTCGGATATTTTTAAAACTAAAAATTTTGTAACATTTGAATTGAGAAAACTCGATGACGTGACGAGAATTTGCCCGAGTTGGTCTTAAGTATTAAATGTAGGATTTACAATCGGGACAAGCACGCGCACCTCGCCCCGAAAGCGTCTGGTTTCCTTTGAAAGCGAAAAAAATATTGAAAACCCGCAGCGGAAAATACGTTATTGAAATCGAGTGTTGCTCGGCGAGTTCCAACATTTTATCTTTTCATACCTTCCACATTCAAGCATATCTCCTAGGCTTTTATATTACCGAAAAGAAACGCGAAGAAAAAATGTTTCAAAAACTCTAACCTCAAAATAACCGTCAATGTCATTGGACTTTCCCCAAACTTAAATTTCTAAATCAAAAGAAAGCTGTAGCAAAAAAAAACCTAAGGAGTTTCCAGTTTTAACGGAGAATGTCATCGGTCACGAGTCGCGACTGAAGGGGATAACTGTCGGCGGTGTTCGGCAATAATTCCGACTTCCCGACTTTCCGTCCCCCTGCTCGTCGGCTTACAAACACAAATATCTTTCCAGGCACCCAAGACATCCGAGCGTCTAGCAAATCACCCAAGTTCCCGGTGGTCCCGGTTCCAGTATAAACTTTGTCCTTCTCTATCTACAATATTCGGGAAAATTCACCACCACATGGAAACAAATTCAAGAAATCGCACGACTTTACCGCTTGAAACTGCTGAAATTCACGAAGCGCTAGTACCTAAGAGAAGCAGATATTTGTATTATCGCAAGATAGCAACATCGACGTTGCGATGACACTAATACCCATCACCGCACGACCTTCGACGTGTGGAAATACCAAAATGACAAAATGAGCGAGGGTGGATAGACAGGTGAGTCGAGTCGGAATCACTGCTCATTGCTGTTCCCCCTCATGGGAGCGATCGAAGTCGAACCCTTCGACTGCCAACTCACAATCTCCTATTCATCTTGCGGTGAAAGCCCAGAGATAGATTGATAGAAATGTTATCGACATCAAAATACGACCAAAATTATATCCTGCCATAATGAGTAATAATATAGATGAAACTTGGTTATTAGTTAGTTAATTATCATCGTTAAATACCTTGTGCACCTGAACTTTGTAAATTACAACGCATAACTTTGGTGGTTCAATATTGGATGCGTCGAATTCACATCTGCGTGTAGGTATCAATCGATCGAGCATATACTAAACCCAAATTCTCTTCCCTGAGCATCAAAAACTACTAAACCTAAGTAGATCTTACAAAAAGTCATCTTACTAAGTCCTTATGAATTATGTGTTATAGAAAGTTTGAGTTTGTAATAGTTTCCAGGTTAAGTAGCAAGAATATCCTGCAAACAGCAGATGTGCGTCTCCCATCACAACCCATCCTCCAATATTCCCTCGAAATAGCAAACTAGGACCTTCCTTCCGCGTTAGGAGCTTAACCCAACTCAACTTGTCTATAGATGTAAAGAAGTAGACGTGGATGTGTGGTGGTGCAGGATAGGATAGAATAGGACAGGATGTGTCGGTTTTGGTGAATACGCGATGCAAGTTACGATCCCGGACATTAAATACGACCACAGCACATCACGCGGGAAGATGTAGCACACAGTCGTTTAGCGCCGCGGAAGACGGAAGTCGGTTTTGTTTCATCCGCTTTGCTCTTGAATTCTTCTACTCGTACCTTTTCCAGTATTTTACTCAGGTTTGACCCGTAGTCAAGTCCCCGAATACCGGGGACATCAAAAGCCCCGGAATATTTATTACACTCATCGTAGATTAATAGTAACACGTGTGATATCTACAACTGTAGAAATGTAACAATCATGCCTTGGTTTACTACTGATTATAGTAACAATAGAGGTAGTGTTGCACTGTGCGCAGTATTTGTGCTGACGGCACGTGTGAAGAAGTACGTGCAGCAAACACTCAAGATGATAATTTTTCATGTCGTTCAGACGTCGCCAGCGAGAAGTAGAAAATGGGAGAAGTTGAAGTATTCAACTGGAAAGCGTTGAAAAATAACCGAGACGAGAAAATTGAAAAATAAAAAATAAAAAACGCAGAGAATCAATTTTCAACTTGGATTACAAACATTTTTCTTGTTGTTTTTTTTTTATATTTTGTTACACCCTGTATAGAATTTTATTTTCAGTAAGTATTTTCTCGGAAAATTAGGAAACTAGAAACCTAGAGTAGAAGTTGC